CTTTTAGGAATCATTTCTTGTGAACTGATTCTACTATTCTGAATTATCTCTAACTTTACCAGTTTTAAAAATATATTCCATCATTATCCTGCCCACTGTGTAAAATAGCTATAATGCAAATGCTAAATATTGCAAGTATCCATAATGTAATCTGTAAAAAACTGGTGATTATATTAATATCCATTTTCAGATGCACTAAAGAAATACTTAATCAGAATCATTTGTGAATCATTTATGTGAGAGAATTATTCTTGGGACAGTTTAATGTTGGCTCTCTATATTTTATACTGAAGCAGTTGTCATGCTGATAAGAGTCCTCCATCCCTGACAATGGATGCTTCTTCAGTGCTTGAAAAGGTGAATTTTTACTCTGTCATGCAGAAACATTCCCTTTCATCTCATCTATCAAGTTTCATTCAATTCAATGAAAAAGAATTTGCTTCTCTTTCCCCCTCTCCCTCCCTCTAGTATCAGTGAAATTATTATGGCTGTAATATGGGGGGGTGCATTTGCATGACAGCCAAAGTTTATGTGTGAACGTGTTTAATTCCCAAGAAAGACATAATTTAATCTCCTAATGGACTTTAGTCTGGGCCTTCAAGGGAAGTGCTAGGGTGATAGGACTATGGGACAAAGCATTTCACTATTTTGAAAGAAATTCTTAAACACTTTTTCTTTTCTACCTAAGATAAGGCAGAAAATGGAAGAAAGAAAATGGGGAAGAAAATATTTGAGAAATTCCAAAGCAAATTTCAGTTCAGCATTAGTTTTATCATCCCATGTCCTAGGATACAAAATAAAAATGTCCTGCCTGCTGGAACAACTGAATGATTCTATTTTCTACATTACAGACTTTCAGATCCTACTGGAAAAATTGAATAATTTTATTTTATATGTTACAGACTTTTAGATATTTGAAGATGGCTATCATACTTCTATTTCTCTTCTCTAGGCTAAATATACACAATACCTCTAATGATCCCTTGTATTTATTTCTTCCTTCCAGGCCCTTAGCATATTGGCTGCTATCTTCTGGATACATACCAATCCATCTATGTTCTTCCTAAAATATGGTAACAGAAATGGACGCAGTAATCTAGTGGTAGCGTGACCAGCACAGCATAGAAAAGAATTACAGTAGTCCGCCTACAACCACAACTGAGTCCCAAATTTCTGTTGCTAAATAAGACATTTGTTGAGTTTTGCCACATTTTATGACCTTTCTTGCCACAGTTGTTAAGTGAATCATTGCAGTTGTTAAGTTAGTAACACGGTTGCTAAGTAAATCTGGCTTTCCCCATTGACTTTGCTTGTCAGGAGGTCACAAAAGTTAATCATATGACGCCAGGACACTGCAATTATCATAAATATGAGCCAGTTGCTAAGCATCTGAAATTTGATCACCTGACCATGGGGATGCTGCCACAGGGATGTGAAAAATAATCATGTCACTTTTTTCAGTACCATTGTAATTTTTAACAGTCACTAAACAAACTGTTGTAAGTTGAGGACTACCTGTATTATTTCTCTTGATTTACATCCAATAAGCAGCTTAGCCACTTCAAAAAGTTCTAGGATCATATTTTAATATTTCTTCAGTTACACCATCTGAACCTGTAGCTTTACCATTTTTTCAATACCGGTCACAGCATTCATGACTCTCTTTCTATCAGATTTTAAATAATTATTTCAACTTCCATTCTTTGATATATTACAATGCCATACAAGTTCTAAAATATTCCTTCTAGCATTTCCTTGCTTGACATAACCGGGAACAGTTAAATAAAAAAGGCAGACAAAATCGTTAAGCAAATTAAAAAAATGTTTTGGCAACAAAGGAAAAGTATTATACAAGGAGCCTCAGTCAGAGGCTGGAAGCTGTGCTGGATAAAATGATAATGAAATGATTTAAGGTGAAACTAAAGCAAGAAAATGCTAGAAGGAATATTTTAGAACTTGTATGGCATTGTAATATGTCAAAGAATGGAAGTTGAAATAATTATTTGAAATCTGATAGAGAGAAAGTCATGAATGCTGTGACCGGTATTGAAAAAATGGTAAAGCTACAAGTGCAGATGGTGTAACTGAAGAAATATTAAAATATGATCCTAGAACTTTTTGAAGTGGCTAAGCTGCTTTTTGGATGTAAATGACTGCACCTATGACTGACAATTGAAAGAACACCATTACTATTCCCATTTACAAAGGGAAAGAAGGGGGAATGAAAAAAAGTACAGAAATAATAGTTCGTTATATGCCTGGCAAGGCAGAGTTCTGATCAAAGCACTTTCAGTAATTACCATTACTCCAAGATCTCTCAGTCATTGTTAGCTCTAATCCCATCAGTTTGGATGAGTAGTTAGGATTTTTGACAAGTGAAAATGGTTGTGCATTGTATGGTTCTGCCTATTCTGTAATTTGTGAGAGCTGGGTCAGGAAAAACTTAAAAAGTACATTGAATGGTAAAATAAGAGATAAGAGTTGAAGTTAAAGAACAACAGGCAATATATGAAGTGATGTGTGGACATGATAGAACCAAGAATACATTGCAAAGATACAAAGATGTAGAGAAGCATAGGAAATGATATTAGTGTAAAGTAGACTAAATTCTATTTTTGCCTTTTCTCTTATGCTTTTAAATTTGTTTACTCATTCTTCCTTCCTCCTTTTCTGAACTGAGCATTATGCAGTTTAATGCTCAGTATAATTTGGCAGGATAGTAGAAGCTTGAATATGTTCATGATAGCTTTGGTACTATAAATTACTGTATACCGATGTCCATGTGTGCATCTATCATTAAGGGCTTTTTAACTCATTTCAAAAAACTTGGAGTTGTTTTGATGGAAGCAGGTAGTTGTTGCTTGCTGCTTGTGATATGCTGCTATGATTTTACATTGTTTATGCATGTTTTGCGCTTCTTAAGTTTTTCAATAAGTTTTTTTTAATCTGTACCACATGGGACTATGGCTCTAAACATATAAAGAAATGCCTTTGCTCTGTTTGACAAAGATATACTATATCTATGAAGCACTAGTTAATATTAAACGTAAATAGTAATAGTATATGAAGATTGGATGCAAAATAAATGGGTATATGTAACCATAGATACAGCTTTGTTTTGCATTCCTGATTCCTACTCGCCTAAATGACAAAAATTTCTCTCCTGATCATAATTCCATGTCCAGAGAATGATAAACTTTTATTTTCCCCAAATAACTCAGAGAGTCTCTTACTCAAGCTCTATATTGTTGTGACCGATGGGATGGCGCAGATCTCACATTTCTGTTGGTGATTGGAAGTGGCAAAGGAAACATCACTCTTCTTGCTTCTGACTATTTCATCAGGGGAAAGTGCTGATGCCCTAGGATTAATGTGGCATTTGATTTAGGAAGCAACATTTCTAATGATTAAATACAGCTCTGGGAGTCAATCAGGTTGAACATTTAGAGGTAAACATTTCAGCCTAATTTTTGTAAAAAAATCTAAAATCAATTTCAATGGGAGGCATCTGTCTTTGGTTGAAGATAAAATAGAAACTTAGCTTTCAAATACAAGTACATGCTCAGTACAAAATAAAAAATATGAACAAATTGGACAATCAAGGTTTAAAATTGTTGTTTTTATAATTTCCCAATAATAAATATTGACTAATGGAATATGAGAAATACATGTTATCACATTACACGCTGTTGAATTCAAAAATATATATTTGAGTAGTGTAAAAAGAATGATTTGGGCTTCAAAAATTTCAGGGGAAGGCTCTTTATAATTTATTTAAAATGTAAACTTGATACAATTTGATCCTGGATGCTGCGTATGCCTAAACTGGTTATGAAGTTATTCAAACCTGGGTTTCTTACTCTCATAGTTTTATCTGAATATGGATCTGAGAATCGGCGGATAGGGTAGAATAGAATAGAATAGAATAGAATAGAATAGAATAGAATAGAATAGAATAGAATAGAATAGAATAGAATCTGGAAGGGACCTTGGAGGTCTTCCAGTCCAGCTTCCTGTTCAAGCAGGAGAACCTGTACCATCTCAGACAAGTGACTGTCCAGTCTTTTCTTAAAAATTTCCAGTGATGGAGTGCCCATGATTTCCGGAGACACGCTGTTCCACTGGTTAATTGTCCTCATTGTAAGGAAGTTTCTCCTTAATTCCAGGTTGCTTCTCTCTCTGATCAGTTTCCAACCATTGTTCCTTGTCCTGCCATCTGGTGCTTTGGTGAATAACGTGACCTCCTCTTCTTGGTAGCAGCCCCTCAAATATTGGAATACTGCTATCATGTCTCCCCTATTTCTTCTTTTCTTTAGATAATCTTCCTCTTCCTGCAGTACCTAATGTCGATGAATGAGATGCTGGATTATTTCTCTTTTCTAATTGCAGGCACCATCTCTCAGCACTGCCTTGTCTTATGACTGCCTGCCGGTCCCTTTAAAAAAGTGCAGTAAGAGATCCTGCGAAAGAAACCTCAGCTACCGTAGGTGGCAGCATCGAATTGATACCGATATAGAAAGTTAAACGGGGAGCTTCTGATCTGATGCTAAACATCAGACATATATGGTTTTATTATATTTATTTACTTATTGAACATAACCTCACATCTAACGCATAAGATTCCGGGCGGCATAAACAATTAAAACACAAAGCTAAGCAATCTGGAGAATTCAAACACAGCCATTAAAAACCAGTTAAAACCAATTAAAAACTATATTATTCACAAACGCACACACTATATTAGGATCCTATCTACGTGCAAGCAGGCACCAATGGTTGCAAGCGAAGCTCACCCCAAGCAAAAATCTAAAATCATTTTCGATAGGAGGCATCTATCTCTGCGGACAAGATAAAATAAATCTTAACTTTCAAATAGAAACGCGTGTTCTGAACAAACTGTGTTTAAACATAACGGAGCGCGATGCCTTTCAGCAGAAATCCATGACCTTTGTGTTTTCCAATCAGTGCATTTTTTTTTAACCGTGAAGAATTTAGGCCTTCGCGAGCCACCATCTGTCTTGCTAGTCACGTGACCTCAATCAGCTGATGAATTCGGGAGCTGCAGGAGAGGCTGCGGTCGGCAAAATGGAAGGGGCACTGGAGACTCATTTGGAAGATACGTAAGTGACGCAAAGGACGGCGCTCCTGCTCGCGGGTCGTGGACGACCGGCAGGTTCTCTCTCTCTCTCTCTCTCTCTCTTTTTTTTAACAAAGGGCAGCCGGCATCTGGTTGGGGGGGGGGGGGAGGAGGAATGGCTGGTTCAACGCTCACCCGTGCCGTCTCCTTTTTTTCCTTAGTATGAAGAATCCCTCCATTGCGGGAGTCCTCTGCACCGATTCTCAGGGGCTAAATTTGGGCTGTAAGTAGAAACTTTACGATGGCAGAAGCTCTGCGCATATTACAAATCCGCTTGTCTTCTCCTTCCTGTTTTTAAACGCTTAGCCCCGATGGCATTTCAAATACTGTCCCTTCGTCCCTGCGCTTCTCATGTAGCAGGAGTTGTTGCTTTGTTTTGAATTTCGAATCAAGCATTATACAGCGGTGCTTTTTTCCCAGTATAAACTACTCTTTTGAAAGAGACTTCGTGATATTTAGGATGTACTAGATTTTTCTTTTTTTCTTTTGCCGGGAGAAGTAAAAGTGAAATAGGGTTGTTACTCGGTTTTCCCATATCCCCCCTCCCATTTAATTGCTTTTTTAAACTTTTGCCCAAGCAATCCTCCTGGTAGTTGAGTTCTCTCGTTTTCATATGCATCCGTGCTCTCTTTCTCATTTAGAAATTCTAACAGGGTCCACAAACCTGTCTTATGTGGGTCTCTTGCTATTGCCTCCTTTAAATCCTGCTAATGAAACAGCAAGTGGTGTTTTGTGTTTTTAAACTCTGGAAATGCCTATTCAGAATTTTGACATCTTGTTGACATCTTATTCTCTGGCAGCAATGAAGAATCCGAGCTAGAAGTAACCTGGCAGTGGGAGTGATAATCACAGTCTATTAAACCTGTATGCCACTCAACTCTCAAGAACTCCAGGAAGTTCACAACAATCAAAGAAATTACAATAAAATCAATTAAGCATTAAAAATAAAGATAAATGATGCAATCATGATGCAGTGCATGGTCTCACTCTCCCTTGCCAAAGACCTTCATGGCTCTTCTAAGCAACACCAGAGTGGTTGCCATCTAGATCTTCGGGAGAACCTTGTGCCAGAAGGCAGGCAACAGCTAAGAGAAGGGGCACTTCTGAGATCCTGAAAAATGACATTGTTTAATTCAGGGGTTCCCAACCAGGGGTGCTTACATCCCCTGGGGGTGCGAGACAATATTCCAGGGGGTGCGAAAATTTGATTTTCAAAATTATAGTGTATATGCATAATTCATTGCCATTATTTTAAACTTTTGTAAGGGGTGTGAGAATATATCAGAAGTGTTCTAGAGGTGCAGGGTATAGAAAAGGTTGGGAGCCACCAATTTAATTGAAGGAGCCCAGAATGTGCTAATCCTATGTCAGTTGTCCTCTGTCTGCTGAAAACAAACTCCAGGATTGAATTTACCACGAGATATTATGGGAAGCAGGTGGTCCCTGAAGTAATCAGGCTCTATGCCATGTAGGACTTCAGATAAACCAGTTCCTTAAATTGCATTTGGAAGCAAACCAACCAGTGAGTTTGTGAAGCAGAAATATTAGATGGACATACTGAGGCACGTCTATCACTGCTCTCATGGCTGCATTTTGGATCAGTTCAAGCTTCGGTCTAGTTATCAAAAGCAGCCTTGGTAGAGCATGTCGGAGTACTGAAGTTGTGAGGTAATTAAAGCATGAGTGGCTGTCTTACACCCCCACCCCAATATCTAGGAAAGGGCCTTAGTTTGGTTCTAGTAGTTTGTATTTGCAAAACTACTGAGCCACCAAGCCAACTGAATTTTAGTCAGCATGTTCTTAGTTTCTGGTTATGCAGATCCAGCAATTGAGTGTATTATATGAATGTTGCTCCCATCATCTGCATATGTGCATCTGTGAACTTCTGGCTAACAGCATCCATTATACAACAAGGATGGGGAAAGGTGTATGGCGATTCCAAATGTCCAGGTCATGGTTGTCCTAAAGGTGTTTTGGGAGGAAGATGTAGACTCAATTTGCCCATTTGTTAGCAGAGAAAATGAGAAGAAGAGTAGCCTTCCACATTCACTGAGAAATGGAAAGAACTCTCTCCATCCAGTGAAAATTGCACTGACTTATGCAACCTTTCTAAAGCCAATACTGCTGTAGGTACTTTATTTGTTTAAAGAGGGAATGAATGGGAAAACATTGAAACAATAGTAAATATAGAAATGAGAAGGAAGCCACTTTTTTTAAATCTACTAAGGCAGTAGAACAAACCTTTTCAGCTTTGTGGACCAGTGGGAGGGGGTGAGGGGATGGTTTTACATGAGAGACGGGCAAGCACACACACTGTTCACGCAAGTGAGGATGCACACACACCCTTGCCCGCCACTTCTGCAACCCAGTTCCAAATGACTCCAGGCCCGAAGGTGGGCTGCAGCCCAGGTTTGGGGACCCCTATACTAACGGATACCATTAAAAGATAAACTTGAGGGAATCCTTTTCCTAAAGGATAGAGGAAAGCACCAAGGTGCTTAGAGCTTACAAAGGACATCAAGCAAGTCAGAGGCTTTAACCTTCCTCACCTCTGCCTTAGTCGCCAATACTACTGAAATTAGTAACCCCCATGTTAGACAACCCTTTTCACCCCCGTGCTAGACCCAGTCTAGTTAATAATTGTAAAGCTACAGCAAATAAGTGACATAATAAAAGCCTTGCTTGGTTATATTCAAAAGTCCAACTGTTTCAGGATTTTATTGTCAAAAAGTCAACCAGATCTTTGAAAATTTATCTAGCTGTGTCAGCCTTCAGTGCACTTCGACTTTGCAACTAGTAATTGGGCATATTGTCAGAAATCCAGACAAGTCCTGCAATTTGCAGTTAATTATTTGGGGAGAATGTTTACAGTATTCTTTACAGCTAAATGCAGAACATTTTTCTTTTGAATGATGCACAGTTATCTTTTAGGTCGTGGCACCCTCTCAGATGAGCATGCAGGTGTAATATCTGTTTTGGCCCAGCAGGCAGCAAAATTAACTTCTGATCCAACAGATATTCCTGTTGTATGTCTTGAATCAGACACTGGGTAAGCATAATTAATATGGTTTTAAAGACCAATTTATGATTCCATAAATGTTGGTAGATCCCAGTTCATTACTGGGTGCAGTGTAATTCCAAAAAAGAACCTGGGTAGGCATGTTCATTTGATTCTGTGGTTTTCCTGTGTTGTGTTAAATGACTTAACAGACTTCACTGCATCATTGCCTTTTTGAATAAAGTTAAAACTTTTCCCTCTCTTTTGGTTCTAGAAATACATGTATAACATACATATACCTGTGTGTTTTCCCTATTAGGGAGAACCCATTTACTGTTTTTGCCTCCAAACACTGGAGTGTTCTTGTCAATTTTCAGCCTAATTTTTGTAAAAAAAATTCTTGGCAATTATTTTTGGAAATGGTTTGCAATTGCCTGATTCCTGATTCTTAGGACTGAGAAACAGTAACTGGCCCAGTCACCCAACTGGCTTTATGCCTAAGGTGGTACTAGAACTCAGTCTGCTGGTTTCTAACCTGATGCCTTAACCACCATACCAAACTGGCTCTTTTAAACTTGGATTTGAAGCCTTAATTCATTTTTATTACCCCCATGAACCTATATTTTGGAGTTGTTGGGGATAATCCTGGGTTTGCCATTGGGTATGGAATTCCAGTGGAAACATGGAGTCCATTAAATGACTTGTATAAATTTGATTGCATTCTTCCATGTTTTATTGTTCGTATAATGTTTTAACTGTTTAAATGTATAATTTGTATTCATTGTGTAATTTTTGTTTTGTATACTCTGCCCAAAGTCATATGCAAGTGAGATGGGTGGCTATATAAATTCAATAAATAAAATACTTGGTTCAACCAGTTATGTAACTATAGGAATTGTAAAATCATCAATAGCCCCAATCTGCACTATTTTCATTAATATTTTGGGTTTGTTTACAATATAAAAAGTCTATAAAATATTTATTTATTGTTTGGTGTGTGTTTTTTTCAGCAATATCATGATCCAGAAGCATGATGGCATCATAGTGGCAGTACATAAAATGGCATCTTAATCTTGAACATTCACAGTATTAATTGCTCTTCAAGAAATCACTTTTGTGGAACTGTCTTCTGCCAGTTAATACAAATAGGATATCCAAGCTCATGAAGCCAGAACCTAATTGAATCTGTCAATATCTTCACTTGCCTACCTTGGTACAGATTGTATCTGCAGAACTTCCATTGTTTCATCATTTGAGTAATAAGCACTTTTTTATTGCTGGAGAGACAGCAGCTTAACAGATGGCCCTAATGTTAGAGGAACTGAAAAATGTGTTGAGGACAAGTAATGCATTCTATCTTGACTAAATATTGTGTATCTACTTTGCTGTAGCAGAAGAATCTGTTAAGGAAATCGTCTTCCTTAGCTCATTGGAACTACAAATATATTTCATCTCAAGCTTGGCTCTTGGTGACTTACGTGGCTATATTTAGGTAGCTTTGTTGCCATCAAATGCAAGAGGTTGACCATTGCCGCCTTCTCTGAGATACTTTTCAGTTTTTCACTTTATAGCTTTGGATTTCCTATCTCAGTCCAAATACTAATCAGGACCAATTCGAGATAACTTTCTAAATCAGTCAAGGATGGTCAAATATTGCCACCTTGCCAAAAAAAAGCCAAAAAAAAGTATTGCCACCTTGCATATTGACAGATATTTAAAGGAGTTTGATAATAACAGCAATGTGTTTTTTGCACTATTTTCTAAAGAGTAACCTAGAAAATAAATGTGAACAACTTCTTCTCTAATCAGCTATTACCTAATGTCATGGTCTTTATTGTGATTGATGAGACTATCACATTCTTTTATGTGCTGGCTACTAAAAACACCAACAGGATCAGTACTAAGCATGGATGTTTCTTGCCCTAAATTTTAAGATGTAAATTTGCATGCTTATACTTAGAGAACAGTTCATCAGTATTAAACCCAAGGGATGCAATTCAATAAAGTTTTGGGACTGGTTCTAATTCTGTTTGAATAAAAACAAATTGCCAAGAAAATAGAGCAAGGGAACCATATGGTATAGGGCAGGGGTAGGCAACCTTGGCTCTTTTATGACTCGTGGACTTCAACTCCCAGAATTCCTGAGCCAGCATGGTCCACGAGTCATAAAAGAGCCAAGATTGCCTACCCCTGGTATAGGGATTATTTTTAAATACAACTTTACTAATACTTTCTATCCAAGTAAAAACCACATAAATCCTTTCAGTTACTCTTAAAATTCTGGTGCTCCAAAATTAAAATACTTAGCAAGAGATTGAAACAAATCTGGTGCCCTTAGTTTTCTGCCAAAACAGTAATTATTTGGCATTGTGAGAGTCCAGCCAAAGGAAATACATTTTTAAAAAAATGGAAATAGAAGCTGGTGGCAAAGGATTATTAGAGCTAGAAACAGTCAATTATGTTATGTTTTTACAACATGCTACTTAGGGTGCGTGATTGAAATCTACTTTGCTGGCTAGGTTGGCATTAATACCCTGGGCCATAAATTAGCCAACCACATTTTCATATGTTCAGCAAATTCAGCTACTTGGTAAATACACATCACTAGGATGGGTAAAATGTGTACAGAAGAAAGGCTGGAAAGCTTAACAAATTTACTGTATAAGCTGCAGAACAGGTTTTGCTGCCATCATACTACTGAATTACCAGTTCATAAAGAAAAAAATACACTACCTAGGTCAGACACATCAACCTTGCGATGTCACATGATGTTGCGCAATGTATCGGTACGGTTTTGCCATTGTCTGCAATGGGGTGGACGTGGCTTCCCGATGACACGTCCGGCCTGCAGGCTGGCAGTTTGACACCCCTGACCTAGGTGGATGACTCATAGCTCAAGATTGAATTGTGAAATCCTTGTTTTCTGAGTTTGGTTATTTGCTTGCAGATATTTTAATATATCCAGTACTAGATAACAGCATCAGAGCACTAAGGGCTCCACAGACATTCAGAAGAGTCTGCATTCTCTTGAATATAGGCAGAACTCTGCAGAATCCAATATAAACAAATGTCCCTTCAGACTCCTTCCCCAATGTATACAGGGGAAAGCTTACAGGACTTTATTAGATTCTGAAATATTCTGTTGCTCCCTTCCTTTCAACTTTAAATTGTAATGGTAAATAATAGTAAAATCATCCAAGATTGTGGGCAAAACAGGCAAGATTTTGTTTTTTGGAGTATGAGACTGACACACTGACGATGTGGATGACTACAGATGTAGTTAGCTCTGTATAGAATGCTAGTCGGAGATATGATTCCCTGAATTGGGGTACTAGACATCTGGATGAGTATTGTGTCCTTTGGACATTTAGCTGAAGCTGAAGCTGCCTGTTCCTTACTGCAATGCACATATTGGTGTTGTAGTTAAAGGGCTTCATTAGCTTGCAATTAGTTTCTGCAGAAAGGAGAAAAGTCAAAATTATTTATACAATTACTATTTATACAATTTACCACAGCAGTAAACTACTGTTTACAGCATAGTACTACTATCTTGAAGTGTGCATTCACACCAAGGATAAAATATCATCTAACCAAGCCTTGGCTCTGCTGCAATATGACATCTACACTGTAGAACATCGTAAATCCAAATCACCAGAGGTTTTTTATGTATTAAAAGAAGGAAAGTTAAATTTAAGTCTGCACTAGTGGTTTTGTGTCAAGCCATTTCCAAAACTACTTTATATCAGCAAGAAAAGTAAAAAGTCACAACTTCTCTAGATACGTAATCCCTTAGCTCGGGAATTCTGGGAGTTGAAGTTACCAAATTTGAAAAACACTAGGTTAGTCTAACTGGCTTTCAAGCAATTATTTTTAAAGGGCCGTAGCTGATAATAACCATCTCTCAGGAAACTGAAGCCTTAGCTTGTGGAAATAGTTTTTGATTATTCAAATGTAAAACAGCAGAGTATTATTATTTTAAAGTCTATTAAAACCATGAAATAAAAGAAAGTACAATATCATGGCCTGGGGTGGTCATTTCATTTTCACCATCTTCTCAAAAACAAGTGATTTTTTAATCTAACCAATTGGCAGTCAACCTGAAACATATCTCTCTTTGAAGCTGAATTAAAAGGGCGGGGCATTATTGAAAAGAGGAATCTGATTTAAATTGCTGGAGTTACAGTTTAAGTTATGGTCTACAAAATTGTTTTACTGACTATACTTTGGTGGGGTAGATTTGTATGTTTAACAACAAAAATGAATACAAATAACTTGTAACAGAACTGAAGCCTTTTGATGGGACAGAACTCTTTAGCAAAGAAATATTCTAGGAAGCCCTGTTCATTTTGTATCAAATATAAGCTCATCCATACAGGGGTTCTCAACCTTGGCAACTTTAAGACTTGTGGACTTCAACTCCCAGAATTCCTCAGCCAGCTTTGCTGGGAGTTGAAGTCCACAAGTCTTAAAGTTGCCAAGGTTGAGAACCCCTGCTAGTAACAGTTTTGAAAATTTGCACAGGTTAACTTTTAAAGCAGTTCTCTTTAATTCTTTTAATGTATAAATGTACTTACTAGGAAGTTAAACAATTCATAATTGCTGGTTAGAAAAATGGATCAAACTATGTTTGTTTTTTTAAAAAATAAAAACCTTCACTTTAATTGCATTGTTGCTAGGGGAAAGATTACACTCCTCTCTCTGTCCCTTGCTGACCAAAACGGTTACAAGTGAGCTGGCAAACTAAGCTGAACTGAATGGTGTGCCTGAGAGAAAAGAGAAGAGAGGGAATAAAGAGGAAGCAGCAACAGGTCTTGCAAACATTAACAAACCACAAGAGAAACAACTTTGGGCTATTTTTATCCGATCCCGGTCTGCTTGTCAAGGACCCCCATCTTTAAAAATCTAGAGCCTATAGGACAACTTTTTATTGCCTGGCAAGCCTACATTAAAGCCCTGTCTTTGTTTACTTAAAAGTACTGGGTGGGGCCATCAAGCTACAGTAGCACCAATCTTCGCTAACAGAAAGGAGGAAAAAACTAAAAAGATAGCAATTAAAGTTCCATCTTGGTCAGCCTTTAAAACATGTGGTTAATGGTTAAATTGAAAGCCTGCAGCACATATTAAAGCAATTGTGCTGGCATGTTTTGAGAGACAGACCGCACTGGCTATTACATTTCTGATTATGCCAATGGCAGCAACTGCCTGGAGTTCAGAAAAGGATGGAGAATCTGTTGAAAATAAAAACAATGAAGGTCTCGATAGCACAGCAGTTCCTGATGGAGGGTGGGGCTGGCTGATCGTTGTCAACTTTTTTCTAGTAAGTAAGAAACAGAAAAAGTTACCGGTACGATGTAGTGTGTGGTTTGGTGTTGCTTAAAAGTCACGACACATACAAAAGGCGCTTGATTTTATCATGCGTGTAGAAATTTAAAAATACTGAAGGAAAAAGAGATTTTTCTCTGATGGCCTGCAACATGTTCTGGCCAAAACCTAAAACTATATAAAGAACTTCAGGAATGGGTAAGAATTGTTGGCACTTTGGTAAGAACTTATCAAACATTTGCAGCTTTCTTAACAAAATAGAAAATATCAAAGAATACAAATTGTAGTACAAGAGCCATACAGTAGCATCTTTCTAAGGCTGGTTTCTTTAGAGTTAGTATTATGAATTTAATTGCAGAACTATTAGCTGGAATCGTGCTGTGCTTAGCTATATTTTTGTTTGGTTTTAGCATTTGGCTTATGGAATGAACTATGATTGAGTAAATCATGGCATACAATGATACGTGAATCCATGAAGCTCCTGCTGTCTCTAGTAATAAGTAGTTTGTGTTACTTTGAAGGACATAGTAAGCATGGTATACAGTATATAGAAGTTACAATTGTGATGAAGGTGGTTTGCCGATTAGGTATACTGCTCCAGATCATGCTGAAAGTAACATCTGGAAAATTGGTGGTTTTCTATTCCTACTCTAGAAAAATTGACATCTGGCTAACTCTGACACAAGTTTGCTTTTGGTTGTGTGTTACAGTTCTCTACAGAAAAGGGGAATAGCACAGTCCCATATAGCGTGAATTACAGTAAACAAGATGACAAGGGTGCGAGCAACTATCCTCAGTGCATTCTTGCATGTAGGGCTACAGTTAGCAGTTCAACCAGAGCTGAGCAAATCCCCTCCAAATCATGGCTGATATCTACTATTTTACCAGGAACTCTAAACTAGGAGAACCCCAATATTATGACCCTGTTTTCCCTGAAGGAGCACAATTTCAAGGGTCAAAGATGGTATAATCCTGACATCACTAGGCTTCTGAGTGAACAGCCACTCACCCTTGCTTGCACTGGATCAGGACATCTCCCATTTGGCCCAAGGAGGAGATATACAATTAGGTATTATCAACATGCCTAATACCTCATCTCTCACTTTGAACTACATGATGACCTTTCCTGGACACTTTATGTAAACAGAATAGGGGAGAGGATACCCTTGTGTCTGTGATCTGTTGCACATCCTTTCCCCCATTGTTACTACCAACCGGATTCATCCAATTGCAAAGGAGTCGAGCTATCCTAAAAGAATGCCAATTCCAAGCTTTCACGGGGGATTCAAAAGGATACTAGGATCCACAGCATTGAGAGCTGCTGATGGGCTTTGTCAAAAAGCCCAAATATTTTGTGTGATATATCAGAGAAACAGGAGAAAAGCAGAAAGCTGTGTAAGTGTGAGAGAGAAAAGTGTGGGGAAGGGCAGAGAAATGTATGCAGCAGAACTGAATGCTAAGGGAGAAGGGTATTATATCACTCCCCCCACCCACCCAATGGCATTTTTGACACAAATGGATTAACAAGCTTATCCAAATCTTGTTAAATAGTTCTATTTAACTCAGAATAGTTTCTAAAAAGAATAGAAATGACCACTGCACAGTCTGCACTCTGTGTCACTATAATGTGTTTTTTTTGCAGCAAGGAAAATGTTGCTCTTTAGAATTTTATTAGCACAGAACTGCTAATCAAAAGCCTAGGCTGTATAGGTTTGTTGAGTTAGCTGAGTTGGAGACTGATTTTATTGTAAAGTGAAAAGCCAAAAAACCTCATCACAGTGCTTTCATCACAATCACATTTCTAAGGATATTTTTTTAATGGCCAAACTTATCCTATGGTGACAATAGAATGGCTAGAGCCAAGCCCTGCCATTGTCAGTCCAGTGCCTAAGTCATATCTCTTTCTCTTTTTAGAAATGAGATTGAAAATGTTCTGCTCTATTGTGGCCCCAGCAACAGCATCAATGACACTGGGTCAGTTCCATAGCAAGCTAAATACTCATCCCATCTCATTTGCTATCTGCCATGCTTGGAAAAAGAAACTGAAGCACAAGAGAATAGGCATTATTTGAATATGTGCAGGCAGGATGTAGACAGAAGTGATTCAGTTGACACTATTTTTGAACTTTCAAACAGCTTCTGAAAAAAACTGCCACCAAAGAATTTCGAATAAGCTTGATTCTTGTGAATTAAGGGAATACGCATTCAAGGATATTAACTGGCTAAAGAACAGGGTGGGGGGAAAGGTGGGAATGTATGGATGCAAAGATATTACTTTTAAAAATCGGAAGGCCCTCCTAGTAATGGATTTGTGTAGCTGAAATGGAGCCAATGTCTGCAATGTCTGTGTAGAAGCATAAAGGACAGAAAGCAAGAAAAAGCATTTCAGAAATGAAAATGAGTTTAAAACAAAGGTTCAGGGAGTTCCTGGCTTACACAACTTGGTTTGTGCAATTCCAATGGCAGACCAAAATTATGACTACCATTTTCATATAGTTGTGCAGATTTCATGTGCAAAAATTGGTTTATATAATCGCTTCTCCAACAGAGCCCTGGCATAAAACAGGAATTGCTCATACAGGTAGTCCTTGTTTAGTGACAGTTGGGACAGTCTACTTGCTACGTGCTTATATTTATTTCACATTTCCTTTGCTTTACAGACTTGGGAAGGTTATAAATGTGAGGATTGGTTGCAAAGTTATTTTTTCATCACCATCACAACTGCAAACAATTGTTGAACAAGAACTTCTTATAGTTAATGTTTATAATGTGTATCCAATGCTTCTTCCAGATATATTTTTCCTTTTTAGCTTAAGTTCTGAGGGCATTCTGTTTTTGAAAACATAGCTTTAACTTCTCATCGTATCTAAATTCATCTCTTCTGGTCATCTTGGCCAAACCTGGACTGCTCAGCTTTATCACAAATTTGTATGAAAACTTTGCAGTTTCTTCTCTTCCTCTGTTCACCATCACAAAATTCTCTTATTTTATTTAGGCTGACAGGTCATAGTTCAGCCAAGGTAATCCAAAACATAAAATTACCATTATTTTTGTTAGCAAACTCAACAGATTTTGTAAAGGTCACTCATTCCTCTTCCCTTAATTTTTTTCTTCTCAGACACTAGCTGGACTTCGGGGCTCTGCTGAGTCTGCCAGTGTGGTGCCTAGTTTCATCCTCTGATCATTTAAACACAATACTACAGTTTTGCAATGGAGTGGCAATTAATAGTCCATTTTACATTTCAATTAATATGATATTGATAACTTTTGTAGGTAAATGTATTTGTAATTGGAACACTGAAAAACTTTGCCATTTTCTTTGTGGCTGTTCAAGAAGATATTGGTGGCTCTTCTGAACATGTCAGCTGGATTGGGTCCATTATGTCCTCACTTCGATTCCTAGCAGGTTAGTACAATCTATGGGTTTAAATGCATGCTTAAATGTATTTGGCTGGACTGGGCTGAGATTAGATCAGTATAAGGCCAGTTCATGATTGTTATCCAATTTGTGAATTTTTGCCCCCAGAGCTGAGGGAAGGTGGCACTCTTACTCAGAATGCTAAATGTGCTTGCAAAGATACCCACCTATCCCCTACCTATATCTGAGAGTTAAAACTATTTTCTCTTCTGTTTTTAATCATTTGCCAATCTTGTTTACTGATCATAACTCACACATTATAATTCTCATGTGTAGTTTTCATAAATCAAGGTCTTTATGAAAACCAATGTAACTTTAATAAACAAAAATAGGAAGCTTGGCAATACCTTAAAGCTTAAATATTTTCCACTCGGTGTTTTCCCATCCCAGAAATGGTATCTATTTCTCAAGCTATCATTCATGGCAATTTCCATCTGCTCTGTTCCAGCACCTCTAGTAACTACAGTGTGTGAACTACTAGGAGAACGGAAAACTTCCTTGTTAGGGGCTCTCCTGGTTGGTGCTGGTTTTCTTATTAGCACACTGGCCACAAGCATTCCTTTTCTTTGGGTCTCTATGGGATTCCTAACAGGTAAGTGTACCATTTCAAGTATATTTAATAAGCCCCCACACAGAGAGAAACTTTCCAGAAATTGAAATTATACATGAAGTTAATATGTATCACCTGCTCATTGTCAAAGGTTGGATTTTCTGGGCATTTTCATAAAGCTATTCCCTAACAAAGAGAACTATAATCTGTTTGGACTAGCAATACTGCAGAACAGAATAGGAAACAAGCTCAATGCTATTAAAAAAAAATAACCCCTCATTTTAAGAGGGAAGAGGAATCTGTTAAATGGTGAATGAGATATTTCCAGCCCCAAAACACATTTGGCTTTATACTTCAGGAAAGACAAGAGAAAGGAAGCAATGCCAGATGCTAATGCTAGCTGGCTATGTTGACTATTCAGATTATCCTTAATCTTGTTTCTGTCTGAACTTTGGACAATAACAGGATCCAAAAGATTTTGTGCATTAAATCCAAGCTGTAATATTGAGGCTGTTAAATGGAATGCTACTACAACTAACTATCTTAAGTTGATATTCTGTCCTTAAGCAATTAGAGAATACTTAAAACCAGGGTGTTTAATTCATTCCTTATTGCATCATCTTTTGAGAGGCATGAATAATTGCTTACCTGAGGCAAGGCTAGAGTGCTCAGGCGTATTTCTTTACATTGTTCTTAAAACTTTTTAAGAGTTCTTGATTAAACTGAATGCTTGTATTGGAGACAGGTACAAAGATAAAATACCACAAAAGCTTTTCTTATATTGCTATTGTTAGAAATATATTCTTACCTTTATATCACTTCATATTAAGAAGCTGGTCAGATATTGAACCACATTGCAATATTATATACAGTATGATGGCGTGATACTGCTTCTGATGAGGCAATGGTTATCCAGGATTTTAAGGTTTCCATGTCTGTTATATGTATTTTATTCTAAAGATTAAGTCTTTGACATAGTAACATATCAGTTATGGTCCTTAAATGTGTACTACTTCAGGAACCGAGTTACTCCTTTGTTAAGTGACATCATTTCAAATTAAGGATTACTGCATTCAAAATAAATTTACCAAACCTCAGACTAGAGATCTGTTTGTGACTTTTAGTAAGGATTTCTAGAATGCATCACTATCAGTCAACAATCCAATTTTTCCCCTTTGGTTTCCAACAGCATTGTTTGAAGTAATTATTAATCTTGTTATGGGGAAAAAATTAAAGACTAAAATACAATTGCTTCAGAGTTAAGAACCGTCCATCTGGAAGCTTTGTGTATTTGGACGATTCACTATTTGTACTTATGAAAGGCTTTAATTAAATGAAATAAAAACACATTCCTACAAAAGATTCTGCCCCTGCTCATGATGTTTTCTTTCTTTAGGGCTGGGTTTTTGTCTGTTATATCAGATAGCTGCTGTCATGGTAATTAAGTACTTCAGGAGATACCTGGCTCTAGCCAATGCAATTGGCCGCTCAGGAATGGGGCTGAGTGTTGTGCTAACACCATTTGTTCAATTCCTTATAGAAATGTACAGTTGGCAAGGTTAGTCATCTTCATTTCTTACATATTCACACTGTTAATATGTGAAAGTTATTGTTGTTAGTTGCGAAGTCGTGTCTGACCCATTGTGACCCTATGGACGATGGTTCCTCCAGGCCTTCTTGTCCTTTACCATCTTCTGGAGTCCATTTAAGCTCACGTTGACATTAAACTTAACATTACAGTCAAATAATAACTGAATTCTCATTCTCTTTCAGTCATTCAATTTCCTCTCAGTGATATAAATGAAATGAGAAATCTACTTTAAACCTACCATAGTTTCCATACAAAAGGAAATATACATTCTGCTTTAGATTTTCTATTTTAATTGCTCTGATTTTTTGACAGGACAATTTTAGAAAGAGTTACAGAAACTGAGTTATTGCTATTCATGTATCACCTCAGACACATGGGAAATAAATACTATCAAAATATCATTTTAAAGATAAAAACAAAGGTTCATTTTAAATAGCTAGAAAACATTTTTTTAAATTTTCTTTTAAATTTCACTTAGTATAAATATAAAGGTTAATACTGGCTTAGGACATTCATCAGTTATTAGGGAGGGACATCTCGGAATGATGGACAATCTGAGGATTGTCAAATGCATTATTGTTATTCACTTAAAGTGATATTTACCATATCTAATACTAATGGCGTTCATTTTTGTCTCTTTCTTTCAGCAAGAATAAAAGCTTTGACATAATTTCAAGCAATGCTGGAAGTAGACTCTATACAGCATGGGGAATAAGGAAATTGTTGAATACTGTTTGAAAATTACCAAAATAAATAGCCCTGAAATGTGGAAGGAATATTTATCTATATGCTAATTAGTTCTACGACCATAATGATTTTTAGAAAATGATTTTTAAAAATATTATCTTTTCCCATTCATTCAGGTTTCTTATTGATATATGGCGGCATTATGTTGAACCTTGTCCCTTCTAGCCTGCTACTACGGCCAGTTTATAAGAAAAAAACCAGAGGCATCAGTCCTAAAAGTGAAGGTCAAATAGTTGCACTAAGTATGTTTCCAAAGACTTTCAAAAGCAGCCTAGATAATATCTGCACCAGAGAATTGAACATACTGGATCCTCCCAATCAAGAATGTGCTAAATTAGACAACCTACAACAGCCTGATAACTTAGCCCCAATTAATTGCAAGCTTTCTGAAATGTCACATAAAAACAATTGTGTGGACATCTACAAGAATGATAACCAAACTGGTGATCAAAGTTGCATCCAATCAAATGAGAAAGGAAAATCCAGGGTACAGCATTTTATCCAGAAGCAATGCCATCTTATTGTTTCTCACTTGAAAAATCCCTTCTTCTTTATTTTCACATGGTCTTTTCTCTTTAGTCAACTTGCCTATTTTATCCCAACTTTCCATCTTGCAGCCAGAGCCAAAACATTGGGTATTGACCCAATGGATACTGCTTACATCATATTAGTAGCTGGTAAGAAAAATCTCGAACTTTTAAAATGTTTCTTGTAAAATGTCACCATTAGCAATCACTGATATTAATTATGTAATCACTAATTACATATAGAGCACATCAAAATGTATAATTGTTTATGGCTTAAAAGTCAACACAAAAGAAATCAAGGCATGTGTGTTGATTCAAATTCAAAACTTTAACTCCATTATCAGATGAATGCTGCAGTGAAGGAGAAATTACATTGGAATTTTTTTTTAATATATAGCTTTACGAAATAAGATTATGCTGTAACTATTAAGACCTTTTTCTCAAAGACGTGTTTCTATAATTATGTATAGTTTTGGAAAACCATTTTAACAACAAAATATGTTCTTAAATTTTATTAGCATTAAAAAAATCACCTCAGTACAAAACTGCTTTTATCTTTATTACATATTATTCTTAGGAGATAAACCAATAGTTAAAGCAACTTTATTAGTTATTCATTTTCAATTTAAACCAACCCTTTCAATTTTGCTTGGAAACAATGATGCAGAATAGGGGTTAAGAAACTGAGGTGTCAGAGCCAAACCTATCTTACACCTGCTGGTGGATACTCTTGAGGCAAAACCAAGCAGCCTATGTAGCATGGGAACTTACCGATGCTTATGTAGCATGGGAACTTACCGATGCTTATGTAGCATGGGAACTTACCAATTTGGTGGATGAGGAAAGTAAGAGTTATTACTCCAGATTCTAAACTCCAATTTCATTTAACAAAACATTTTGCCACAAAATTACTGACCAGAGCTTGTGAATAAGCATGCAGTTTAAACATAAAAGAAAATGTTCAGAATTCTGAGATGTGAATGTATCAGATAGAAACAAAACTTCAGCTTTATATGCCTAACAAAAATACAGCAAAAAAGTGTTCATATAATTCAATGTACTGGGCTTTAGCCAATCAAATGTGGAGCTGAAGAAAAAAAAGGAAAAAAACAGTCTTCTAATAGTGAAAAGCTGTTCACTATACCATCCAAGAATTTTCCATACAATGTACTGGGCAATTTTTGAGACAGGAGGGAGAATGAGGGTCACCAGGAATTTGATATTGGATCTTGATAACGATAGAACTGAAAATATGAATGGATGGAAGACTTACCACTCAGATAAGAAATCTGACAAATGAGACCACAGCCAAGCAGTGTGAGCATTTAACAGCAAGTCTAAAAGTAGTACAGAAAAGGACATTCTAAATTGCCAGAGTGATTATTTTTATTTTTCCAATTTTGCAGGTTATTTTTTGCTTCATGTGAATTAGAACAATCTGGTTACCCTCAGACTTGGAATGACAGTTTATAAACCACTTCATAAATATTTACCATATGGCTCCTTGTGGTGTTTTGCAGCATGATTTTTTCCTGTTTATTGTTTTAATTAAAATAATACAAATTAGATGGTACAAAAAATCTGATCACTAGGACATAGATATTATTGCTAGGTATACTTATGTCCACAGGTGCTATATTGGTGACTTAGGTGACTTTAGAAATTTACAAAATGATCCTTATTTAGCGCCCAAAGAACTTCTGTTTCAGAAATCATTATATATTTTTGTTCTGTTTTCTTTTAGGGATAGTAGAGACAGTCAGTTTACTGGTCTCTGGCTGGATTGCTCATCAAAACTGGACCAAGACATATAATTACCATAAAACATACCTCATTCTTTGTGGGGTCACTAATCTGCTGTGTCCACTGGCTACAACCTTCCCATTACTTATGAGTTACTCTGTAATTTTTGCCATTTTCAGTGGTGGATATCTTGCACTGCTGTTTCTTGTACTGGTAAGTGGGAAAAAATAATTGAACAATGAAAATATTAGAACAGTAGCACTTTACATTTCCAAATGATGAAATCTGCTTCAATTCAGACAATGCTAGAGAACTGGAGAATTGCATGTTTTAAATACAGTCAGAAAGATGAATTTAGAGAAAGAACTGCACAGAAACACTGGAAATACATTTTACCAATCCTAATTTATTATCAGTTAAGCACTGATATGTACTTTCTTGGGTTTTTTTTTTCTTGAAAACATTTTGCTTCTCACGTAAGAAGCTTCTTCAGTTTTAAATCAGAACTGAAGAAGCTTCTTGGATGAGAAGTGAAACATTTTCAAGGAAAAAAATCCCAAGAAAGTTGCCTTTCGGAAAAGCACCTTTGGGACAACCATGACCTGGATAATTGAGGATCTCCATAAACACTGATCTGCACTATTTTAAGACCAATATTTTTATTAGGTTATTGCTACTTTAAGAGCCAGTTTGATGGAAGGGTTAAGGTATCGGGATAAAAAGCAGGAGACTGTGAGTTCTAGTCCTGCTGGGAACCAGTCTGCCTAAGATGGTAATGGCAAGCCACTTCTGAAATCTTGCCAAGAAAACTGCAGGCACTAGTTCAGGTAGTTGCCAAGAGTTAATACTGACTCAAAAAAATGGTGTTTTTAAAATAACATATTTAACTTTACTACTAGGTTTTAAAAGAAAAATCAGCTCCAGACTAAAGAAATGCTGTTTCTATTTCTTCAAACTAATTATTCATTTATCAGATTTGCATCCTCCTAACCTGAGTTTCCTGGATTGTAATCCTCTTCAACCCATTCACAGCATCTCATATCAGTGTACTGAAACCAAAAACAATGCTAATTTCCAATAAATACTTCATACAGACTAATTAATGAGAAATATTTATGGAAAGCTAAACCCCCTAAAATATATTTGGACTTGATCTCCTTGGTCTTCAACACTGCCTAGAATCAAACACGTGCAATGACTATATAAATTTGATAAATACATTTAAAACATTTGTGTCACTGGCCTTTTATTTTCCATCTATACTTTTGTGGAATGAAACTTATAATTACTTTAAAAAAAAAAGCAAAGACATAATGCCTCTTTAGTTTAGTCAGATTTCAGTGATTTCATTTCCTGCTTTGAAAGCTGCTAGGCATATTTGTCTATTAATAGAAAAGCAGCTACAATGTGATCCCAAATCACATAACACATTGATATTGTGGTATAGTTCAAATCTGAAAATTGCAGAGGAAGTTGTTTTGGAATAGTTAGGCTAACAGGAATTAATATTTTAAATTTTTGTTGATTTTTAATAGCTATTTTAAAATTTTTGAGATATTGTCTTTTGAGTTCAGTTTGCATTCAATATATACTTTGTCCTATGTAGAATAATATTAACAATATCACCAGGATGCTTTGGCAGCCTCCAGGGCATCTGAAATTTTAGCTTCTTTAAGAGATGCTGTCCATAACCTGAAACCAACAGTTCATTTTTATACAGTATTAAAATGTATATGTATGAATGTTTAATAAGGGGTAGACTTTTTTGTCTTTTAATACTGGCAATGTAAGAAATTTGAAGGTTCTTTAACTCATAAGATTTGGTTTTGCTGTTATAGCTGGGTTATAATTTTATTAAATTACAACAAAGGTATCTATAGTAATATAAAAACCTGGCTTTATCAAGCTTAGAACACAACAAAAAATAATCTTAAATAAATGGAAAAATACTCTTGCGATTTTAAGGGATGGATCCAAGACAGGCATTGAATCTACTTTTGGAAAATCTATACTCTAAAAATGAGAAGATGACATATTTTGTTGCTATGACGTTGTGAGTTTGACACCCCTGGCATACCCTTTTGCAAGCTTAACTCAAGTTTAACACAAATCCAGATTTTTTAAACGACCCTGTAATCCCTTGCATTGGGATGGAGTTGGGGCAGCTGAATGGAGCTGAGCATTTACAAATCTAGATAAATATACAAAAATGTCATCAAATACAATAAATATATATTTACAGTATAACATGCTTCAACTTGGTTTTACCTCTAGTCAATTGATCAATATTGATCAATACTGGAAGTCTAGGAAACAAAATCCGTAAGAGTGGATTTTTGCCAAATATGTCACGTCACATGCCTGTCCCACCAGTTGTGTCACAAATTTGTTACTAAGAGCTTAGCTATCACAAATAGAAACAGTTAACAACAATATGTGATCATTTTTTAATTGCTGTAACTAATAAATACTGATTCCCTTAATAGGTAGATCTTGTTGGTGCAGCCAGATTTCACAGTGCCTTGGGACTTGCCTCATTCATTGCTGGGCTCGGAGTTATTGTTGGACCTCCTATAGCAGGTAACACAATTGTCATTTTTTTTCCTCTAAAAAAATAATTCTTCTAACCGTATAGTGTACTGTATTTTCTTTCAAAACACAAACTATAATGTGACTTATATATGCACTTACATTTAGGAAAAATCCGATCAAAAGTGTAAACAAAGGGAAAACAAAATTGTCTGTGTAACTATTTGGCAATGTAGTACTTAGTGTTGCATTTCATATTTAAATATTCTTCTACTCTTTCCCTCATTTCATCTCCCTTAAGTTTATTTCTAGTAAAAAGCAGAGATTTCTTTCCATTCATAAAATGGCAGGTATGCCAACAATGCTGTATAAAGCATAATAGCAGAATGTATTACCCACAATTACTACAGATAGGAAATCACTACCTTCCTTATTTCTTCACTGCTCAATCCCTTCTTGTATTAAAGTTATCTTTCCTTATGTTATAATTTCTTCTTAAACTTTTGGTAATACATATCAGAGCATTTCTACTATTACAAGATTACCTCCTTGTAGGTCTAAATCAGTAGCTTGGGTCCTCCCCAAAAAAATAGTTTATAGTGTACACAACAGCCGAAATATACATCTTAAATATCTGTCAGCTGAACAGTGGCTGCAATTATGAGAAAAGAATTGAAAATCCAGATAAACTATATAGATAGATTTTAATTTCTATGTTTGTAAGTTAAGGATAATACTTCTCAGTATTTATGATATTTAAGCCATAAAGATTATTCAATTGCAAAAGGCTGTGAAATTCTGTGATTTTTACAAGAAATATTAAGGCTATGCAAAGCGTCCAAAGGAGGTTGCTGCTGTACAACAGGAAGAGGGGTGCCTCCAAATATTGTAAAGTACCCCTTACGAACCATTTGCACAGCCCTAAAAATAATAACTTGAATATAAAATATTTGTCAGTTCTTAATTATAAAAGAAAACATCATGTTGCACTACAGACAATGCATTTCTTTTTATAAAGGCAGTAATGGAAGTAGCTATTATTCAGACTAGATATCCTTTAGGAAAGATGTTGATAAGTGGAACATGAATAAATAGTAACAATAAACATGCTACAGCACCAATGCTATAACTAGACCAAGTTGTTTATACCTGTGTTTTTTTTTTGTGTGTGTGTGTGTGTGTGTGTGTGTGTGTGAGAGAGAGAGAGAGAGAGAGAGAGAGAGAGAATGTATGTGTAAAGTATTTTGTATGAATAGAAAAAAAATCCCATTTGCTAACCTAATGTTTTCTTCAATGCAATGCTACACTAATAGTTTCATTGTCTACTTTCATCCTAGGCCAGGCCTAATAGTTATATTTATCCAGTTTAGTCAAAATGGTGGATGAAATATAATCCTTGCTCATATTTCTGAAACTGAATTAGGATCTTACATTTTGTTTGAGATGATATGACCTATGTGGTAAGGGAATTAATTCAAAGGATTATTTAAAGCTATTGTAATAGAAGCTCAAAGCTAATAACGCAGTTTAACAATCTAAGGAAAGCAACAATGGTTAAGATTTTCTCTAGCACCCATGACGAAAATAAGGAAAGGAGGCAGATTTTGATAAAACCAGTGTCAGCTGATGAGGAAAATGGAATAGGAAATTAACCAGAGAAACTTAATACCTTTGTAATAGAAATGCAGAAAGAAGGTAGGGAAATTGCACAGGTTCTACCTGGAATCTTTGCATCAGTCTTCACTGTGAAAGATCTTAATGCAGGACCTACACCTGAAGCATATTCTAGGGAACAGGGCAGGGACTGCATCTGAAGAGCTGTGCCAAATAGAAAAAATGTAAGAGGTTTTAAAATTAACAAATTAATAACTACATGACAACATAGAGTTCTTGAAGAACTTCTAGTAAATTTTTATGAGTTTTAAAATTTAAATCTAGCTGTTTATTTGCACTTCCCTAGCAACTAGCAACAAAAATGGTAAAACGACAGCAATCATGTTTTCTAGGGTATGGTCCAGTTGTCAAAGTGGATACTGAGAAGTACTAGTGAGACAGGATTCAATTCCAGAAGACAATCATTGTAAATATTTTTTGTGTTTTATATTGCAATTGTATCCATTGGATGTGGCTTCACAGATTCAAGATGGTGAAACCTAAAGCAGAAGAACTTAAAAAAAAATGAACAAGCAATTAAAGTACATGGTTATATACTTTGAGCTCGACAATACCTATATTCTTAAAGTAGGGGAAAATCTGTAAAGATTTTCACTTGAGGTAAACATTTCATTATAATACGTACTGGAAGTAAAACATGAACACTGGATTTATTAGGAAAAGAACTGAAAACAAAATGGCAAGTACTGTTTTAAAATAATTCTGTATGTAACATCATTTGGTATAATCTGGCACATTTCAGAAGGTATTTCATGGCCCTGAAACAAAGAGAAAAGAGTAAATGAAATAATCAGAAATACGATCATATCCATATACACCATGTTAAGGCACTTGAGACTTCAAAAAAAAAAAGAATAGATTCAGAATTTCATATGTATATTTGGTAAATGTGCATATTCTTTCTTATCTCTCATTCAGTGCAAGTTATCTAATTAGAAAAAAATCAAAAAGCATAGTTTAAGGCAGGGGTCCTCAACCCCCCATCCCTGGACCGATACTGGTCCGCAGCATGCCAGAAATCAGTCTGTGCAAACAAGTTAAGCCCCATCTGCGGAATGCAAGCAGCATGCAAACCTACACCCCCTCCGGTCCGTGAAAAAACCTTTCCATGGAACCGGTCCCTGGTGCCCAAAAGGTTGAGGACCTCTGGTTTAAGGCACAAGCTAACAAGCATTTATAGCCAAATTCAGGTTTGATTCTATGCTATTATCAAAAGCAGGGAGGTATTAAGCCTTGAGAGATAAAAATAATTTGTTCAAACACTTCTGAGTATGAGATTTGGAGTAATTGGGGGGGGGCTATTTTCTGCATACAGGAAGCATCTACATGGCTGTTATTTTAAAGGAGAGAACTAGACTGGCAAGGACCTTATGATCCCCTAGTAATCCAATTCATACATGTAGCACGTAGAAGCACCAAGTAAGTGTGAATCAATAGATGCAGGTTTTCAGGCAGAATCTATTCCAGAGTGCTTTAAATATGAGCCATCCTATTTCATTGTGGGAAGAAGCCCTCTGGTGGTAAATTGTAATAGTTTGCCAGAGCAAGAAAATCCTCCACAACGTAATTGCTATGGGATCATGGGGATTTATACCAATGGGATCTCGCCCAATTAGAGATCAGCTTGTTCTATAAATGTTAGGGGTGGGATAATAGTGCATTACTTCTATGAATTTATATGCTTTTTCAAAAGGTGTGTTTTGCCCATTTTCAAAATTATTAATACTTGAAGTTGTGAAGCATCACCTTAAAGAGTATAGCTAGGATTCATTCTATATACATTACATAAAATTCACTAAAGTTAAAATGTCCTTATATGTGGGTGTATAAGAATGTTTAGTCTGGACACAAGACTGTATCTTCTACACAACTCAAGTACTCCATAGCTCAATACTACTGCAAAAAGCCCCCATCTCTTGTTTGCTGTTGAACAATGTACTCAAATGTGGGATTCAGTAGCAGATCCTAAAATACAGAAAGACTGAGCAAGCAGAAAAATTAACAGATCAGTAAAAGAAAAACTGAAACAGATTATTATTTAATAAACATGCCATGAAGAAATTAAAGGAATGAAACATATTTACCTTGGAATAAGTTATCAGCTCCTGCAATTTATACCAATTAATATATAAAACACAATCTTTATTGCCACTTAGGTTAAATGATGCCTACATGGTTTTTAAAAGTGTTGCATTAGTAATGATATGAAAAGACAACTATACCAAATGAAAATGATTTAATAACCAAATCCTGCTGTTCCTCTTACTTACAGGTTGGCTGTATGATTACACACAGACATATGCAGGCTCCTTCATTTTGACTGGTATATGTTTCCTTGTTTCATCCATTTCATTATTCTTGGAACCTTTAGTCCAAAAATGGAGACAAGAAAGTTGAATCCACTGCAATCCAGATTCTACAATTCTCCAAAGTCTGATCTTGTAGAAGTTATAAATTTTCAATAAACTAATTATGGGACAATTGATACAAGATGTCTTTCAAAAACATTAATATTCTGCATGCCTGTAAGCTATTTATTTATTTATTTAATTTATTTATATGCCGCCCAATCCCAAAGGACTCAGGGCGGCGTACAAAATTAAAACAATCATCGAGAATAAAACAATAAAATAATACAATCATACCGCAAGTCCGATCATGTCCCGCCCCCCCCCCGGGGACATCAGCCCCAGGCCTGCCGGAACAGGAGAGTTTTAACGGCTTTCTTAAAGCTTTTTTTCTATGCTGTGACTATATATTTCTGTGTCATTGCGTGTGGTCAAGTAGAAGCTGCTCAGCCATTTGTTATGGATGCTTTGATTCCTGCAAACACCAGAGTCTGAGTGCCATAGTCAATTGTTGTTTTGAATTGTTTCATTTAGCAAAGTATGTTTGAATCTGAAAATTATTCGAGTTATCATCCAAAGCAAATGGAAAGTTAACTTAGACATTCCTTCTTGTATCTTGACAGCTGCTTGATCAATATCCCAAAACAGAGGAACAAGGGAGATGCAGGTTTAAATATAAAATCAGCTATATGTATAAAATCATATAGTGTCACTATTTCTCAGCCCAACCTACCTCACAGGAATGTGGTGGGGATAAAGTGAAGAGCTATCTCCATGTAAGTTGGCTGGAGTTCCTGGAGAAATAGCAGGATAAAATGCTAACTATCAGTTTATTCATATTAGCAGGTCATCACTCTTCATTTAAAATTAAGCACACAAACTAAAAAGAAAATATTATCCCTTCTTTTAGAGGGCAAATAAAACTATTCTGAAAATTTGGACGAGATCACATTTTTGCTGAAGAAGAAACTTCCTCCCCACAATATCAGAGCAAATAAGGAAGCAAGTTTTGTAAGTCATCAGTTATCATACAAGTAGTCCTCAACGTACAACCACAATTGAGCCCAAAATTTCTGTTGATAAGTAAGACAGATGTTAAGTGAGTTTTGCCCCATTTTACAGCCTTTCCTGCCACAGTTGTTAAGTGAATTAATGCAACTGTTAAATTAGTAACATGGTTGCTAAGTGAATATGGCTTCCCCATTGACTGCTTGTCAGACAGTCACAAGAGATGATCATATAACCCTGGGACACCATAAATACATGCCAGTTGCCAAGCCTCTGAATTTTGATCATGTGACCATGGGAATGCTGCAAATGTCATAAGGGTGAGAAATGGTCATAAGTCACTTTTTCAGTGTTGTAACTTTGAATGGTCACTAAACGAACTGTTGTAAGTCAAGGATTACTTATATATTGAGGTTTTTACTACACAAAAAGAGAAAGGTTTGAATAGAAATAATTTTCACTCCTTTGATATCTTACTCCAAACTTTTCCAAACAACGTCCTCCAGAAATGTCAGCTTATGAGTTCCTTTTAATTTTCACCTAACATAGGTAGGACTTACAATCCAGCAGCCCCAAAGTACCATGTAGGGAGATCTATGGGTGTAGTAATTCAGTATCTCTTTAAAGTGTGAAACTGGAGAAAGCTAGGCATATCAGTAGCCACCAGAATTAGAAAAGTCAGTTGCCTTGACTTTATGTCCAACAATATTTACCCAAAAGTACAAAGAAAATGTTTGAATTATTATATGAATGTGTCTAACATATTACAAAGTTTATATAATAAGATTGCATTTGTTCAGATCTGAAAATCATTGTGGTTTGTTGCATATATGTGTACTTACATCACTTCCCAATATGTGTGTGAGGTGAGACACAAATTTGGAGGAGTCTAAGGCTGTTATAGAGATATATACTGTACAGTGGATATAAAAAGCCCACACTCCCCTGGTTAAAATGCTAGAGTTTTGAGATGTAAAAAAATCAGACCAGGATAAATAGCTTCAGATTTTTTTTCCCACTTTTAATACAACCTATAAGCTATACAACTGAAAAACAACTTTAAATCCTTTAGAGGGAGAAATAAAAATAAAATACAATAAAATGGTTGCATAAGTGTGCGCGTATCCTTTCAGAAGCAGGGCTATGGCCGTGTTCCGAATTAACCAATAACATTCCAAGTGATGTTAGTCATTTACAGGTTGGCCGGACATACTTGCCATCACTTAAAGTGACTCTGATCAAGTCTATATAAAGTTCAGCTGTTCTAGTCAGATTTTTTTTGACATTTACTCAGTTGCCTCTTACAGCAAAAGCCATGGTCTGCACAGAGCTTACAAAACATCAAAGGGATTTCATAGGAAGGTATCAATCAGGAGAAAGGTACAATTTTTTTTCCAGGCATTGTCTATACCAGTATTTCCCAAACTTGACAATTTTAAGGCATGTGGACTTTAAGGCGTGTGCTGGCTGTGGAATTCTGGGAGTTGAAGTCCACATGCCTTAAAATTGTCAAGTTTGGGAAACACTGGTCTATACTATGGAACTACAGTGAAGACAGCCATGCACAAGTGGAGAAAATATGACACAACAGGGATATTACCAAGAACTGGATGTCCCTCCAAACTTTTATGAAAATCCAACAAGAAAACTGGTCCAAGAGGCTGCCAAGAGGCCTACAGCACAATAAAGGTTAAAAAAAAAAGTCCCTGTGGATTTTACTTCGCTAGTCATTGTCGTCTATACGAGGCAGTACTCATCTCCATTTCAAAGCCATTGAGCCAGAGCTGTCTGAAAAACATTTCCAAAGTCATGTGACCAGCATGACATCACAGAATGTGTTATCTTCCCACCAAAATGGTACCTATTTCAAGATCCGAGCTCCACACGACAGGGCGAGTTCCTGTCTTTGCTCCAGCACCTGCTAACTTAACATTAAAGGAATTTCTGGAAAGTACTGCTTGTGTACTAGACGTGACAACAATCTTCCATATTCTTCATATATCTGGGCTGTGGAGTAGAGTAGCAAGACGAAAGCCTTTTCTTTACAAAGAAAAACATCCAAGCCCGGCTATATTTACAAAAACCTATATCAAGTCAGACAAAAGCATGTGGGAAAATAAGCTGTGCTCTGATGAGACCAAGGTTGACCTTTTTTGAATTCCAAAAAGTATGTTTGGTGCAAAAACAACACTGTGCATCGGTGTTGTTTTTGTACACCATACCCTAGTGTACATCGTGCCCACAGTGAAACATGGCAGTGGCAGCATTATGGTTTGGGGCTGCTTTTCTTCAGGTGGAATAGGGGCTTTAGTCAAGGTGGATGGAATTATGAACAATTCCAAATATCCGTCAATTTTGGCACAAAACCTTCAGGCCTCTGCTAAAATGCTGAAGATGAAGAGGAATTTCAGCACAACAATGACCCAGAGCATATCTCCAAATCAACAAAAGAATGTCTTCCCCAGAAGAAGATCAAAGTTTTGGAATGGCCCAGGCAGAGTCCGGACCTGAATCCAATTGAAAATCTATAGGGTGACCTGAAAGAGTGTTGTGCACAGGAGACGTCCTTGCAACCTGACTGATTGGAGCACTTTTGCAAGAAAGAGTGGGCAAAGATTCCCAAGGCAAGATATGTCATGCTTATAGGCTCCTACCCCAAAAGACCGAATTCTGTCATAAAATCAAAAGGTGCTTCAACAAAATATTAGTTTAAAGTACACTTATGCAACCACGTTATTGTAGGTGCCTTATTTTTATTTTTTCCTCTAAAAGATTTGTTTGTTTTTCAATTGAATTGTACAGTTTTTCAATTGAATTGTATATTAAAGGTGGAAAAAATCTGAAGTGATTTATCTTGGTCTGATTTTCTTTTTTACATCTCATAAAACTGGCACTTTAACAGGGGGTGTACAGTTAGTGCTCAACTTACAACCACGACTGAGCCCAACATTTCTGTTGCTAAGCAAGACAGTTGAGTTTTGCCCCACTTTATGATCTTTCTTGCCACAGTTAAGTGAACCACTACACCAAGTTCAGTTAGTAACGTGACTAAGTTAATCTTGATTTCCCACTGACTTTGTCAGGTTACAAAAGGTGATCAGATGACCCCTGCAAATGTCATAAATATAAGTCAGTGTCTGATATTTGTTCACATGACCGTGAGGATGCTGCAACGTGTGAAAAACGGTCATAAGTCTCTATTTTCAGTGTCACTGTAACTTTGAAGATTAACTAAACATTTTTAAGTTGAGGACTACCTATATAGATTTTTATAGCCATTGTAATTTATATCTTATCAGTTTCAATATAAAAAGAATCAGCTCATAGATGATAGGAAATATTTATGCCTGCCTTATGCAATTTGGATAACTATTACCAATTGTAGCTAACTGTTTTACAAATGCATTGGGCTGGAATTCCCAAGCTAACACAACCACTGACCATATAATTGAAATTCAACACAGGTCAATGGCTAGAAAACAGTCTGATCTAAGGTTCTATCCACTATTATCTTTAGAGATCATTTGCCTAAACTAGGAAAAGCATTATATACTGCATGAACACATACCGTATTTTCCGGCGTATAAGACAACTTTCTAAACCATGCAAATCGTCTCCGAAGTCGGGGGTCGTCTTATATGCCGAGTCATCTTATACGCCGGAAAATATGGTATTTTTCGGCGTATAAGACGACTTTCTAACCATGCAAATTGTCTCCGAAGTCAGGGGTCATCTTATACGCCAAGTCGTCTTATACGCCGAAAAATACGGTACTTCTAAATAAGTATGGAGCATGTGAAATTGGCTGTCTGCTTAGTGAACAGAGCTTTTTCACACTGAACCAGCAGTTAAATCTTGCATAACAGATTTATTAAATCTTGCATAATGTTATCCTTTTCATACTTACATTTGCTGTGAAATTTTTAGAAAAAAGTGCCACGTTGATGACTTTTCTATTTGTATACTTAATGTTTCCAGTTGGAATCTGATGTACAATTGTTTTGTGTCATATGTGCTTTACTTGGTTCTTGCAATTGCCAACTTCCTAGCAATGTGAAGGAACTCACTGACCAATACAAAAAGATATTTGCACTCTAGCAGGTAGCAGTATCATTGCTACAAAAGTAGAATGTATTATTTTTATCTGACGGCAATATCAGTTAAAGGAACACAGCCCTTCAGTCACTTATGGTGGTTTCTCATACATTCAAGTTTCTTTTCCATTTCAGGCTTACAGTAGTCCATTATCTTACATGGCTCTTGGGCACTATCTGGCTTGTTCAACCTCCCAATGTGCAGCTCTATAATGACTGATAGTATTGATTAAGAGTGCCTACCTATTTCATTTCCCTAAGACTGAATTATGATTATTATATGATTATTATATAATTATTATATAATTATTATATAATTATAATAATCATTTGTTAAGCTTAAAAGTTGTTTATTTGCTGATAAAGGCTCACTTTGAATGAGAATCTTCTCCTGAGCAGTACAGAGGTAAAAAGAAAAGTATTGAAACGGATCCCAATATTAACGAAATAAATTCACTAAACCTACCCAGAAAATACCTGATCCATCCATAGATTGTTTCACAAAAATAGCAAGAAATATTGTTGGTTCCTCACCTTTTTCAGTATAAACTTGTTCCTCTTTAACAAAAGAAGCAAGGGAAACAATCTTGGTTCTCAGCATGCCAATGTGAATAGTGGTCAAGAAATTTGTGTCAGCTGAAATTCTGCTCTGATAGTCTAATTCAGGGGTGTCAAACTCGCAATGTCACGTG